AGCCTGCCTGAAAACACGAGCGATGAGATATGTGAGGCGAAATGTTTCGGTTAGTATCGGGTTGGGACAGCGGCGGTCATGCCTCGAAAATGGCCAAGAAGAAGAGCAACGGTAAAGTTGCTTACCCCAAGACACCTGGGGCTATCCTCGGATTTTCTTAAGGTAGGGTGCATAAGAGGGACCTTAATTTACACAGAAGGGCCAACATCATCGCTGGCTAACGACATATTTTGAATTTGTGAGTGACGGGGGGGGGAGTATTTTGGAAGCCATTCAGCTGTCAGCTGGAGCCAGTGCACCTGTGGCCCCCACCCCAGTTCCCCAGACACGCAAAGAGGAGTCTGACCCTCTTTGGACACAGACTCCCCACCTAAGCCAGCATACCACCTCCTAGGTGCGACAGGTTCCCTCAACATCAGATCTGCATTTTTCCGGTTCTCTCCAGATGTTCACCTATCTGTCTGCTTATTACACAAGTGCAAATTTGTTTGTTTTATCTAAATATAGGTTGCATGTTTACCCAGATGGATATTTAGGAAAGGTATTTAGGTTAAATACCTTGCTGAAAGGCAGTATTCTTTGTGTCCTCTCTTAAATCTCTCGAATCAGGGTGGCGTTATAATAATACCTCTTAATTCATACTTTGCCAAAAGCAGAACTGCTACATTTATTCTTAATTTTAATAATGCCCATAAGTAGGATTTAATGCACCGGGAGAATTTAGGACTTAACAACCAAATGAGATCTACTTGTTCAGCTAATGGCTGCTTTAACTGTCTTGCCATTCTCACCGAAGTTTTCAAGTATGCTTGTTAAGCTGTAAAGGTCAAGCAATTCTGGGGGTCAATTATGGCACTTTGACTTTGTGTTGATGGGTGTGATTGTGTACAATGACAGACATGATTCCTAACGTGACAGGCATGATTTGTTATGTGATTTCATGTGATTCTGTACAGTGAGATGTATGATTCAGCCCCACTAATTATTCTTTACCGCCCCCCCCCCCCCCACCCCACCCCAAAAAACAAAACATCTCCTGGAGGGGGAGATGCATTCTGCAGAGCCACAGTGATGTGCACCAACACACCAGCATCCGTGTTTTTCACACTTTCCGCTAGTGACCTTTTCACAAACTGCATAGTGCATTTATACCCAATATCTGATCTCCCTTTCTGTCCACAGAAAAAAAACCTTTTTTTTTTCTTTTTTTTTTCTTTTTTTTTTCGAGCTTGAGCTGGTGATTGCATTAATTATCACACAATTTGCAGATTCAATTTAGGGCAATTAAATTTCGAGATCGCAAAATGTCACAGTTTTAAAATAAGCTGCATCACGTCCGGGTTAAAAGTAGCCTGAGAACAGTGACAGAGTTCTTTTTTTTCCCCCTTTGTTATTCCGATAAAGAGAGGAGGGGCTGAGAGAGCTAGCGAGAGAGAGACGGCAACAGCGTGTTCATTTATGATGTTGTGCCGTTATAAAGACATTAATATTAACGTGCAGCACTTTTAAAAACAATAATATGGCAGCTGAATGTGCAGAACTAAGCACAGTGTTCATAGCTGCATTGTGCTTATGTGAGAAGATTCAGCAAAGCCTTCTGACCATTTAGATTAATGCATGTATACAATAGCGATATCAAGGTTACTGCATGTATTCAATAGCGATATCAAGGTTACTGCATGTATTCAATAGTAATATCAAGGTTATTGCACAAATTCATTACCAAGATGGTTGCTGCATGTTTTCAGTAGCAAGATGACCCTTCCTGCCCCCCAGGACTCTGCAGATCCTAAAGCAGGCTGCCTATGGTTCTGTCTTGAGGTTCCTCCTAACCTCTCTCTGTTTTGCTTGTAAACACCCCTATTTCCACTCGCGTGGCGGCCATCATACGACGCTGCTTCCGAGCATAATGATGTCTGCGCTTTGTGAATTATATATTTTCTCTCTTTTGGCCCGTCAGAGGATGATGTATCACCAGTCATACCTCAAACAGAGAGTTCCATATGTGTTATTTTGTCCTTCATCTCCACATAGTCATTAAGCAGAGAATTCGCACAGTAAGAGATGATAGATATAGTTTTTTTATGAGGACTCATTGAAAGAAAAAAAAAAAAAAAGTTAAATTGGGGAGAAGACTGAATTAAACATTGTGCTGACTTGAAGGTCAGACCGATACTTTCAAATGGCTCTTTTGATTCAATGTGTTGAAGTTCCACCAGTAAAAAAAATAATGCCTAATTAAACTGAGAACCTTAAGGTCGGCGGTATATTTTTCAAAAGTTTGCTAAATATTTTGTAATTGCGGAAGAGAGCCTTGGGGCTTGAAGGCTTTTTTTCCAGCTCTGTTTCTCAGGGTTTTTCTACTTCATGATATGTCAAGGGCTTATACAGGGGCAGGGCCACAGGGGAACTGGCCCAAGCTGAAATCTGATTGGCCCCCGGCATGCCTTGTCCCCTGTCACTCACCGATTCAAAACATATCATTGGCTAATGATGAGGTTGGCCCCTCAGTATGAATGATATCGTGCATTTGATGATAAGTGACTTGGCTAAGCCTTGATAAGACAAAAATAAAGACTGTACAATATAAGTATTCTGTGTTTCAGTGTTGTGCACCTGCAGTTCGGGGGTCATCTCCAGGGAAGTGGTCTTTGCCAGCCGATGTACATATTAAAAGTAACAATGTCAGTAGCCCTTCGCTATTTCGACCCATAGCGTTTCTAAACAGCCAGCGTCTCATTTTTGGCACTGTTTTCCTGCTCTCGTGGTGAAAAATCTCTATGGATTCCCAGGCCAAGAGAGCAGCGAGAGTGAAACGGCCGCGGTAAATCTTAGTCAAGGTTCACCACGGAGTCGTAATTACAGCCGACGGTGGCCAAGTTGTGGGCATTTTGCTGAAGGGGGCCGTAAACCTCGGGGGGGGGGACCCTCCCCTCGCCGCTATCCGTAGGACAGACTTATTTGAGCCTTTCGTTATGTCCTGCTCTCCATCACCGTTTACAGTGCTTTCTCCTTGAAAAGCTTCACAGAAAACGAAAAAAAAAAACTTTCTAATCGAATGTTTCTCCTAGCAGATGGATAGCCTAGGCCCTTCTGCGGAGGGTTGATTCAGGTGCGGTATCGAGCTCCTTCCCGTTGCTGAACATCAGCTCTGCGGTGCGACCCTTGTAGCAGAATGCAATCAGAGCTCAGATCGACGGCAGAGACACGGCAGGACGCGGGATGAGAAGATCTGAACCACTCGCTGCTACATCTAAACAGCCAATAAGGGGTCCGGCAGACAATTCCGGAACTCCGAAAGCGGCGTGTAAGTTCAAGAGCACCCTCGGGTGTGTTCCCGCTTGCTGGCGGGCTTCAGCGCCGTCCCCTGCAGCAGCGTCCGTGAGCTCGCCGGTCCCTGGACGGCGCGTTTTCGAATCCGCATTAATGGCCCGTCTTCATGTTCAGAAGGTTTTCCACCAGGCGGGATGGCAAGCTGTACCAGGCGGCGTGGGGGTGGGAAGCAGGAACGGAGATTTTATTTGGATACAGGATTGGATGCTGGGCACCGAAACAGCGGGGAAAGATGATAAACACAGTCGGTTCGGCGTCAGCACAGAGGAAACACGGGATGGAAAAAGCTGTTGTCAGGTTTTTGGGAAGGCAGCAATGTGGAGCCCAGTATAACTGGTAATCAGGCAGAGGTGAAGGGATCTCATGTCCCAGACTCCCAGCTTACAGCACTGATCCTGTATGCCCTCTAACTTTGCATGAAAACAATCAGCCGAATTAATACGCATAAATCTACAGGTGATTGAATAGTGAAGCATAATCGTTTATTAGTAATATGGCCTTTAGGGGGTCATCTGCTTTATCTATCCTTCCAGTCAAGTAGTTATAACCATAAGTAAATATTAGACAGCAGGAATGTAGCTCTGATAATATTTAATAACTGGTGAATTTCTCGCAGCTTTTTTAACGAAAAAGGTTACTGTTCGTGTAGGACAGATGGAAAATGGTGAGGGGGGGGGGGGTGCGGTGGGGAAGAAGGTGTCCTTGGTGTCCTCAGTAGGGTAGGGTGGGGGGGCCGTAAGCTGAGTCGCGGTGCAGGAAACCCAGATGTGAGAGGCAGAACTGGGCGGCTCTGGGGAGGTCTCAAGGAACAAACTGGGTTGGAAAAAAAAGTGAAAAGCTCTCGAAAGTGACAGTGCGGAGATGTTTCAGTCAGTGTGGCCGTGCTTCAGAAAAAAGGACGGAACCGGTGTGCAGAGAGGTCGAGGCCAGCCGCTTTCAAAATGAAACGCTCTTGTCTCTTCAGATCTCCTTCTGAGGTCATGTTTCCTCATAAATAGTCATTGTTTCTAGATAAAGGCTCTTGCCGTATATATATTTCACGCTAGAGTATTTGACACAGATAGCAAGGTGTCTCCCATAGATATTTTCTGCTTGTAAAAAAAAAATAATAATAACACCACCAAGAGTAGCGCAAAATAATACAGGCATTTCGTCGTCTTTTACCGAAATGCTGATGGCCAGGCCTCACCGAGAGGGGGCTTCTAGCAACAGGCTGACGAGTGGATAAGCCACACAGGACCAGAGGGAGAGTCATACACAAAGAGTCTGCAGGGCTAATTACAACAACAACAACAACGACGAGACACAACAGGGAAGCTGTTGTGTGTCTTTTGTACTCAACGGGCCTAAATTCCACATGTAATGGGATGGAATATTCTAGAAACCTGAAGAAATTATGTGTAAATCTTCATCTCTGTTATCTTCCAGGCGATTGGCCCCGTAGCTTTGTCAAGCTAGCTAAGGGGATATTGTTCTGCACCTTATTCCTCTGTGGAAAAGATATACAATTTGCACTCTGAAAACCCGCCATTAACATTTCGGGAAAAGGTGTCATTCACATAAATGCATGAAAAGGAATAAAAATGGAACGTGGTTTATGTAGCGACATGCGTAGTATGGCATGTAGCTAAACTAGAGTTATGGAGTTTAATCCATTTTAGCTTTGGTTCAGTTGATGTGGAGCAGCATAAACTCATTTTGGTGTATTCTGGCTATCGGAGCTTACCTTTCGGACAGTGTAGTTATTTATTCGCAAGTTTCCTTCGTGAGGCTAACTCACGCGGAGCTTTAAGGAGGGAGTGACAGCTTCCTGGGTCACCTCTGTTGCCGGGCTCCGGGGCTCAGTTTCCGTCGCATCGCGGTCAAACCCCCTTCAGTCCTGCTTCTTTGACGGCATAAGCAATAGCCTGGATGACTATATGCAGCTGCTACGATTAAAAATAAACCAACAGGCTGTTAGGGAGGAGAAACTGGGAGGGGGAGGGGTGACACCAAGCCCACCCCAGTAGAGAATGTAGCTACGGAAGCCTCACCTGTGATCACGCCTCACGTGAGGACCGCGCTCGGTTCGATGGCTCAGGTGACGATCGTCAACGTAAACTGCCGGTTACTGGACATGGGAATAGAATAATGATGCATTAAACCATAATAAATCTGAAAGCTGTGATTATAGAATAATTATGCTCCTCACTGCACGATGTACTAATCTGATTAAGGTGTTTGATCCCCAGATTATCAGGAATATCGAACGGAGATGCAGCGGGTGGACACAGGAGCGATCGTTCCTGCGATTCTTCTGGCATTAGGATTCGGGCGGAATGAGGCCGGATTTGTTTTCCATTCCTGCTCCTGCGGTGAGCCCGGACGGCTCGATACCGTGACCTCTTGTAGGAGTCTCCGGCATTCTGATGCCGGCCGCTCGCAGCTTGTACAATTTTTTTTTTTTGTTTTTTTGCACATTTCCCACAGCTCATTAAAAATAACACGCGGAGAAAAGCCTGCGCTGCCCCTGAATGCAAATTCCGGGTCGGTAAAGGGCCACGGTCTGACTAAACCTGACGTGAAGGCTGTTTAAGGCGTAGGGATCATTTAAATCTTTTATTTAATTTCCAGATTTCAGGATCGATTTCACTTTTACGTGGGAGACGGAACAGGAGCTGTGTGGGAGTGAGCAGATCACTCTGTGTCGGATTTTGTGGAGAATTTCCGGCTCTCCTGGGATGATGGTTGCAGACTGATACCATCCGATGTGTAGAATGCTAAAAGGACATGTCTGCTAACAGCAGGTGACTCAGAACAGCTAGAGAAGGTTGCAGTTCTGCCTTCTCAGAAGTAAGGCCTTATAAATAATCGTTACAATAAATTTTGTATCAGTTGTGTTATGAATATAGTATTTTATTGTTCTTCTTACCTCGGTAAGGTGTACTTCACAGATATTCAGGCCTGTCGTACTCACAATGTGGGTTTAACCCTCAAGAGAACAATGATTTTTAAATATGAAGTGCAATTTGCCTGATATTCAAAGCAGACTATACAGCGAGCCGTCTAGGAATTTGATCCAAGTCACCAGGGATGCGGGGGAATTGGCGCCATGGCGACGATGGAACTTGCATTTTCCCTGATCGCCGTGGTGAGATTAGCACCTTCCTTCTGAAAGGGGCTCTCATCCATCACTGGGGAGACCCACAAAAAAAGCCCCTTATTTCAAAGTAAATTGGAAATGACATTTAACTCACATCAAAAACAAATGCAATATTAAAATAATTCATAAATTCCAAACCTCATGTTTTGGTACGACTGACTGATTATAAGGTTTTTTTTATGTTATGGGATGAATGAATGTATGTATGCAATTTAGATGAATGAATGAAATAATAGATGCTTTTGCACTTTATGTTTGGGTCGCTGTGTAAGCGAATGCCTTGTTTTACAAGGGAAAAGCGATATTTTTTAATAGATGGAGCGGAATGTTTGTTATGCGTTCAGTTTATTTTTAATCACATCAGCAGATGACCCACCCCACAGCATAATTTAAAGTGTAACAGATTGGGGTTGACCTGCGAACGTGGAAGTATTGTCAGTACTGAGCTGATGCACTTGTGTAGATTATCCGTACGGATTACCGATGTGCGGACAAGCCGCCGGCGTGCCGTAATTAACAGATAAAACTGTTGGTTCATTAAAAGAACATGCAGTGTCATGCGTCCGGCGGTCAGGATCGATCAGCCCCCAACCCCTCCCCCCCCGCACCGCGATGCCGACACGGCATCCATCACTCCGCCTATTTATAGTCTTTTAATTAGCTCCGCACCCGAGCCGCCGCCTGGCCGCCGCGCTCTCAGGAACGCCGCTCGCCGCCTCAGAGCTCTGTCCCGAGACGAATGACACCGAGGGCACAACGAGGGAGGTGACAGTCCGGAGAGACAGTGAAAAATAATAGCGGGTGCCAACAATGGTAATGTCACCTTGAAATAATGGCCGCCATTCTTCAGCGTCTCCAAAGTCACCCCACGTGCTCGTTTGAGCATCTCCGCTCACTATTCGAATTGCATTAGGTGGAGACAAAACCCCCAGTCAAATCCCTGTAGTAGCTGGCTGTTTGGTGAGTCCCTTTGTATTTATTAATAATGGGTGCATTTTTATACCACTCTGGCTGCTCCTGGAAACACTACTGGGACCTGACTGTCCTGCCGATGTGATACTGTGACCTGTATCAGTGTAAGTGACCCTGGCATCGTTGCCAAGGTTACCGTTACCTTGTGAGTTAAAGGGGGGGGGAAGGGGATCGGGGGATGGGCCATTCTAGAGGTATAATGGTATAATTGGCTGATCCGTTTGTACTGAAGAGGGGCGTGTCTCTGCTCCTCATGTCGATGTAAAGGTCCCGTGTCCTGATCTGAGGTCAGTTGACGTGCAGCATGGGAATAAAGCCAAGGTTATTCTACTGGAGGCCCTCCTCACTGCACGGTGACCTTATTGGAGACCCTCTGCCCTGACGGAGGTCCACGAGGGATCGTTTGGAAATGACCCGCAGCCTGAGATGAACACCAGGCAGGGTCAAGAACCCAATCCGCGTTTCCGGTCACCACCGTCCGACCTCGCTGGCTCCTGCCTGCCAGTTTGTGACGGGGGGGAGACTAAGACGTCCTGCCAGAGCACACACACATCCCTGGGTCAGGGCAGTCTAGGTCTTCCCGCATGTTCACCCCCACAGAGATGGCAGTGAGTATGCCCCAGCCACCTTGGAAGTTATCTCATTTAAATAACTTAAGACACGACCAAAATGGGAGGAGGTGCAGCCAAGGTGAAGCCTTCGATCGCGGCTGCCCCCCCTCGACCTGCCTGTCCGGGCAGGTGTCCACGCAGGTCCTCACAAAAACAGAGGGAGCAGTGGAAAAAAAAAACAGAGAATAATGACGCCGCAAGTGAAATATGTTGCATTATCATGGGCGCTGGAGCGTAGCGTCTCTAAGACACTCTCCCTCCTTCAGGATGCCAGCGGGTCAAGGGAAAATCGTTCATTAACTACCTGGCAGGCCGGTTCAGAGAGCGATAGAATTCACAATCAGAGGGAATGATCAAAGAGCAAAATCCCTGGCCTAATATATGGAACTTCACATTTACATTTGATGACTGCTTCTTCTTTAACCGTCTTCGTTAAGAATAACAACGTCATGGCCCAGCAGCGTAATTATAAGCGCTCTTCAGCTAAATGAATCTTGTCATGTTTCGGTTTGCGGAAAGGTTCCAGCTGTGGCTCTTCTGAAGCACCCAGTACTAAGGAAATAGTTGGCCGTCCATAACATCCAAACGTTCATCTTCCTGCTGGGTCATGGTGAGTCTGGAAACACGTGCCGGGAAGCACAAAGGTAGGGCTACACTCTGGAGCGGGTGTATGTGATGTCGGTAGACTGTCAAAAGTCAACAAACTCACAGTCCAACTTCAGTGGCCGCCTTATGGATAAATTTCACCCTGAGGCATGTTTTCTGGAAAAATCTGACAGCTGGTTGAGTAGGCTAAGAGCTGGAGCTTGTGGGCTTTGGGGTATAACCTCCCGTCAGACCACTTAACCAAGTGGAATCGGCCAGATGACAACCGACGGACAGCGATAGTTTGACACTTGTTTGCTTTACGTGCAGAAAGGCCCGAGAAATTTTACTGGTGCAACAGGCTAGCTTCTAAATTTAGCCACTTCTGTGCTGTGATTGTGGCAGATTAGGGCCTTTAAATATGTATCAACAGGATGCTGAGTGATTGCCCAGTGCATCATCTCAGTGGTACCACACACAGGCAGTGGACTGATTGCAAGATAAGAGGGAGACCAATCAATGGGAGATTAAAGGTGGAGAGCTGAGGGCAGATTTAGGCCCGACGCTGCGAGCTAGATGAGGGCTTTGTGCAAATTGACGGTCCGACGCTCGGATGACGGCACGCGGCTGCTGGGATACGCTGCGTAAGCGCCGGACCTCGATGAGACGGCACCGCATCTTGTTACACACGCCGTTCGCCGTGTCAAGGGCGTTACACACAGTAAACTATCCTCTCAGTGTGCTGACAGAGTATGTAATGATTATAAGGGTTCATAAGCTGTTTCTGTCTAGGTTACTCGCTGTGTGTACACTGTTAGAATTCCTGTCGTTTTCGGAGTCGGAGAGCATGAATCTGCCACCAGGGGCCGCCGACGATAACAGGGTGGCAGGAAGTCGATAAAATGCATTAACTGGGTATTGGTGTTAGGGGATACAAACAGCGTCTATTTTTTACCCCCCCCAAAAAAAAACAAGTGTGGAGCAGCCTCAACAAAAGTGGAGAGACCAGAATAAAATTGTTTCTATGAGGTTTAAGTTCTCAGGATTTTTAATAAGTAAACAAGGCAGAACAGACTTAGCTCAGACGGCTGTGAGTGTATACAGTGTATGTGTGTATATATAGATTTTTCAACCACTGGGAAATATTAATTTTATAACAATCCTGTTTACACACCAAAGAGCATATTTACTCTCTATACACCAGCAATGTCAACAGCCGTGTTTCTGTTTACTTTCATCTGTAAATGAAAAACTGTCACCATGGGTTTTTATTGAAAAAAGGTTATAATATGAAGAGTGCTATATATGGCCCCGTCAAGCAGCTGATAAATTATGGGATGTCAGTGCTGTGTAAAAATGCCCCACCCCCCCCTTTGTTCTTTTCACTACGGGTCATGTGGTTTCATTTTCCACCCATTCCACGGACGTATTAATTTTATTTAACCTCATGTTCGCGATTAGGCGTACAGGGGCTGCGTAGCTGGTGAATGACATGTGACCATCGGCGGCCTATCGGAATTAACATCGGGCCCGGGAATGGGATCAGGTCCAAGGCAGGAACGCCCAGGATGCCGGGAAAGCGGCCAGAATGGGCCAAACGTATCGGGATGAGTCCGGCCGACGGCGCTGATGAAGCAGTCATGGTTGTGTGCCCCTGTGGTGACGCTCAGAATCGGATGGACCTTTCGTGTGGGCGGACGCGGGCAGAGGCTAGATCTAAGGTGGACGACTCTAATGAGGTCCCCAGTGAACAATAGTCAGAGTGATGTAAGGGGGAAAGAAAGCAGAGGATTAAAGTTA